ACTCATAGCAGGCTTTTTGCCCTTTGTTTGTGACTGAGTCCAGTATTTTTCTGGTTTTGTCGTAGTCGTCCTTCTCTGCCTGTATTTTACTGACCTCTTCATCACAGAGAACTCCTTGCTGATATAAGTTCTCTAAAATCACAGATAGATTCTTTAATCCTCCCACAAGGTGGCGTCTTGCACTTCTGATATAACCTTCAGCAGACTGTGATGTACAGGCCATGTTTCACGGCTTCTGTGTGTCCTGCACACTGAACCAGCTTCACTCATCTAGAGAACAAGATACCAGGTTAGAAATGTTGGAAATAATTAACACGCCTCTGATGTATTTGAGATAACTAAGACAGAATAAAACTGAACTAAATACTGTATATGGGAATGTAAAATAAATTAATGAACACATGCACAACATATAAATAAATCAATATAAACAATAAATAAATTGGGGAGACAGTTGTTTTTGGGGTTTTTTGGTTTTTAATCAACCTGTCCTGTCTGGCAGTTTCAGCAAAAAGAATCATGTTGTAAATGCCCTGTCCTTTTTGCTTTATTTTATTTTATTTTATATGTGTAGTGTGACGATGCCAGAGTTAACAGGCTCAATATAAAAACAAAATAAAGACAAAAAAAAAAAAAAAAAAAAAAAAAAAAAAAAAAAAAAAAAAAAAAGGGGGGGGAAGAAATGGAGAACAGAAAAAAAGGACAAAGCACTAGTAAAGCGCAACAGGCCACCCACTGCTGCATCTGTAACAAAACATATTCAGAAAAGAAACAGCACCTAAAAGAGATTTTGATTTTTAGAAAATACTTTTATTTCTCAATAGATAATCGACATATTAGCACACACGTTATATTGAAATGTAACACAAAAATCAATCAATAAAGCACAATATATCAAATAATTACATTAACACCTGCCCAAAAACTAGGTGCCCCTCAACCACACTACAGATTGTCTATCTGCAACCCCAGACCTGAGGAAAAGTGTGTAGGTCTGAGGCTGCCTTATAAACTTTAAATTCTAGCAGCAGCCTAGACTTCACCATGTTGACAAACACAGAGACCACCTCAACATTCAGCCCTTGTGTCACCTTCCTCTTCCTATTCATATACACTGGCAAGCAGTGTTGGGGAGTAATGGAATACATGTACCGGTGTTACATATTTAAAATACAAAATATGAGTAACTGTATTCCGTTACAGTTACCGTTTAAAAATGTGGTATTCAGAATACAGTCACTTTGTTGAAATAAATGGAAAAATCACAGCGTGTTAGGTTGAGCTGGCAGTGGGAGAGCTGCAGCTCTGTGTCCAGCAACCGTATCCAATAAAGATGATCAAAATGCCACTGGGTCTGCCGGCTTTACGGTTCAGAGCCGCGGACCTGTTTTATATATTATATATATTTTCTATACAAGATTACTGCAAAAAGTGCAGCCTTACCCTACTGTTACTCATTTTATATTAAGATTTAAAAATCTAGTTGGTATTGGTATGGCAAGTAACCTTAAGTAATAGTAAGAAATCCCGCAGCAATAGTACGTTCATGTAGTTGTAAAAAGCATGATAATATATTAACTCATTCACTGCCATTGACGTCTATAGACGTCAATTACGTTTTGAACACTGCACACAAAAGTGAATTATTCATTGTGAATAAATGTTTCACTATGTACATTTTATTTTTTCATATATTTGTAAATAAATTGTTTTGATAAAACATAACCTTTCTCAGTGTTATTTCTGTTTTATAG